GCTAGCAGCACAGAAAAGAGAGAACATGAGAAGCCCCCAGGGGCACCCTGTTAGACCATTCCTAATGTTCCATACTTGGGGGACTACACTGGGAGTGAGGTTCACTTGTAGAATGGCATAAAGTGCTGGCTGGTTTTGTTTCGTTCAGTTCAGCATATACTTCAAGGCCAGTGCAGAATGATGGGAAAGCCAACCTCATCTCTTGGCTTAGGTTAATGGCAAATGAGTACAATCTGCCAAGTATAAAGGTGACGGGAAGGAACCTTCCCAATAATACATCCTCAAGAGATGCCAGAAACCCTATCATTAGCTATTTGTTCCCAGAATAATGGCAGAGTAGGACGAACAGCAAGCATATGAAGAAAGGATAGGTCCCAGAGCCTGGAGCAAAGCTGAAGCTAAAGCTGTAAGCAAGGGTAAAATGGCACCGGCCGAGGGGTTGGAAGAGAGCAGGGCACTAGGCAAGTCATTAGATGTTTACGTAAGCCTACGTATAGTCAGACAATGCAGGAACCCATTTTACAGCATTGTCAATGTGTAGTATAGAAGTGGGCATGAAAGAGATTTCCAAGGGTGGATACCAGGCCTCTCTTTTCCCCTTCATCACACCTTTCCTGCCCTAGACACATGTCTCTGTACTTTGAAGGCCACAGCAACTTCCCTAATCAAAGAATACACATTAAGGTGTTAATAGCTGTTGGGGCGCCTGGGTGGCTCAGTCGGCTAAGCGTCCGACTTTGGCTCAGGTCATGATCTCACGGTCCGTGAGTTCCAGCCCCGCGTCGGGTTCTGTGCTGACAGCTCAGAGCCTGGAGCCTGCTTCGGATCCTGTCTCCTTCTCTCTCTGCCCCTCCCCACTTGTGCTCTGTCTCTCAAAAATAAATAAATGTAAAAATAAGTTTTAAAGGTGTTAATAGCTGTTAGCCACGTGATCTTTTATTCCTTCTGGGAGTAGTTTTAGAGATGCAGTGCCTTAACGCAAAAGAGTGACTCTCTAATAGTATATTCTCAGGCAAACCTCTGGAGGAGAGATTTTTCTCTAAGGGGAATACTGTGAGGCTTCTCATAGCATAGCCCACTGGAAATGCAATAGACCAGATCCGTTTCAAATGCAAGAGATGAAAAGTAAATCTAGACGCTGAATTGACTATATATAATCCAATTATCCTTACTTCAAGTCTCAAATTACCATGATTTTACTGCCCCCCCCCCCCATTCACTACTATGACCCACACATCTGGCACACAGTGAAAGTTCAATGAATGGTCCTGCGTGGTGCCTCCATTATTATTACTATTAGCACCGGAAGCAGTAGTAGCAATAGTTCTGCCCTGGCACAGTGCCTGGGGCATATTAAGTATTCAAAGCTATACTAATTATTTTGTTGCACCAGCTCCTGGCATAGTGCCTGGCACATAATAGGGCACCGATTTAGTTAGCTCCCTTCCTTCTCATCTTGCTGTAGGATACATTTGTCTTCAGTTTACCCCACAGCTTTGCCTTACTCAAGTGGGCACAGATCTTCCTTCGGCAACAGTGCTTAGCACAGCATCACTCGTGACCCCATCTGAAAATACATCTAGCCTTTTCTCCCAGGGTAACTTCTTAAGTGGCAAATGGGCAGCGAGCATTTAAGATCGTTTTGCAGATGGGACAACTGAGGTTGTGAGCGCTTGCCTTTTAGCTCACCTCTCATCTTTGTATCTTATCATAGCCTGAAAACTGTGCTCCTATCAATTTCTCCCAACTAGGCCATGATCCATCTCACTACTATTGTTCTTATGTTCTGTAGGGCCTGGACCACCCTCACATTTTCACATTGCCTTTTTTTTTTTTTAAGGTCTTATTTTTAAGCAATCTCTATACCCAACATGGCACTCAAACTCAACCCCAAGATCAAGAGTCACAGGCTCTACCCACTGAGCCAGCTAGGTGCCCCCACATTTGTACTTTTAATTCATCTTTCAAGAACTCACTAAAGAGCTACATCCTCCATGAAACATTCTCTGAGCTCTCCAGCCTTCACTGAGCCCTTCCTGAAATCCCAAAGTATCACTACCACATAATTTAGCCCTTCATTCCATGACCATGCCAACCTTTCTCAGCTAGATTGTATTTGTTCATTAAACATTCATCTGTTGAGCACCCGTCATGTTCTAGACCCCATTGCAAGTGCTGGGAAGACAGGAATCAAGGTACTCAAACCCTAGTGGCATAAAGACAAACATGCTATTAGGTGACATTGGAGAAATGTCATCCAAGTACCAGTGGAGAACTCAGAGGGAGATTGGCTAACCTCCTGAAAGTGTTGGGGGTGGGGTGGGGGGACTTCACAGAGGAGGAGAACTGTGAGCAAGGTGCTGAAGCCGAGAAGGAGTTTGTTAAGTGGAGAGAGTAGGATGAAGCTATGTGCAAAGACATGGTCATTAAAGGGCCACTCAGAGAGCATGGCTCAGTATGTCTAGAACTTAGGTTGGGATGGAGAAAGATGAGAGAATATCATGGAAGGTTTACTCATTCATTCATCAAATATATATCAAGTATCCAGGGTGTGCCAGGAACTTGGCTAGGTGCAGGTGCTATAAAAACAGGACCGATGCAGTCCCTGAACTTGAGATTTAAAGCAAATTGGACAGAAGAGATGATTATCCAGTAAGACAAAGAAATATGTCACTACAGGGGCACCTGGCTGGCGTCCGACTTTGGCTCGGGTCATGATTTCATGGTTTTTGGGTTCAAGTTCCGCATCGGGCTCTGTGCTGACAGCTCAGAGCCTGGAGACTGCTTCCAATTCTGTGTCTCATTCTCTCTCTGCCCCTCCCCCACTTGTGCTCTCTCAAAAATAAACAAATGTAAAAATGTAAAAACAATTCAAAAAAGAAATATGTCACTACAAATTGTGATAAGCATTAAGAAGGAAAAGAATAAAAGGAGAGAAGACTATGAAGGCACCACTTTAGAAAGAGTGGTTGGTGAGGGCTGCTCTGAGGAGGTGACATTTGGTTGAGACCTGAAAGATTAAAAGAGCTGGAGAAGAGTGTTCCAGGAGGTAATCAAAGGTCTTGAGGTGGCCAAAAGCTTGGCATGTGGGGGGACTCAAAGGCAGCTGCACAAGGCTAAAGAATAGTGGATGAGGGTGAGAAGTTGGAGAGGTAAACACACGAACCAAAACCAAGCAGACCTCAGAAAGGAATGTTGAGTTCATCACAACTAAGCAAGGAAGAGCGAAATGGAACCAGATTTGTGTTTTACGGGGTAACTTGGGAATGGTGCGGGAGACTCCGTGGAGGGGGAAAGAATGGAGTCAGGATGATCAATTGTAAGGTTGTGGAATGGTTTAGGCGAGAGACGAAGGCATGCACCTATTCTTTCATACCCTCCCCAAGTGACTAGCACAGCACTAGGCCTACTGACGGCTTCCGGCGTGTTCATATAATAGAAATAAATACATAAATATATATAAATAAATAAATACAGATAAATAAAACAAATATAAATAAATATAAACTGAATCCAGTTGTTGGGTCTCTCTTCAGGAGATCACACTGTCTCTTCTTCCTCCCCTCTTTTTGTTTATAATGGAGATGGGGAGGCGGGGAGGCAGTCTACAATTAGGATTATTAAAGTCATTAGCTGTTTAGTGACAAATGCTTACTCTAAGTGCCACTTTCCTCAGCCACTGCTGAGTTACTTGAAAGTAGCACAGAATATCAGTGCGTATCAAGACAGCCAAACAGAGATGTGGATGCAGAGAGAAATTTGTCCTTTGGGCCTGTTCAGGGTATGAGGTGACACTCACCTTCAAATACTAACTTCCCAGAAGACCACAGGCACATGAATTGCAAATGCCACTTGGTATAATATATGCTTCTCCCTTTGCCAAAGCAGGGATGTAATTACCTGGAAGACTGAGGCATATGTCATGTCTTCATCTTCTCTTCCACCCAGCAGATGACACAAGTGGCCCTTTATCACATTTCCATTTCCTTTTGCTGGCAAAATACTTCGGTAATGAGACACTTCAGTGGGTCCAGCCAAACTCAGCCTCCAGAGGGTCCTGGAGGTCCCCGGGGTGGGAGAGAAAGGGGAGCCAATCACCTTATGGATCTGAGCCTCATCTTCTCCCCTGGGGAGAATAAGCATTCCTATCTCACAGGGCTAGTAGGAGGAGGTCAGTGAGGAATGTGCATGAATTTGATCTGAAACAGTATAGAGGCAAGAACTCTATACTGCCGTTCATTCTACGCAACTGAAGGCCAAGACTGTCTTTTTTTCTTGGTTTCCCGGAGAAAGTTAAACACATTGTAGGAATTCAGTAATAGGTTTTACTTTAAAATCACTTCCATTGAAATCGGGCTTTAGATGTGGTGCATGTAAAACAGACCATTCTCTTCTCAGAACTGAAGCGAACAGATTATCGGATCCATAAGCTCCTTGGTTTCGAGCGGTAGAGGAAAAATCATGAATCGGCAGAGGGGGTATGTGACTTTGGCCTATCGGAGCCAATACCCATTCCCCACTGAGAAGCAGCAAAAAGCAGGGCTTCAGGTAGCATGAAAACTGGATTTTAATACAGGGTCTACATCTGGGGAAGCTGCAATGTGGCACTGAAAATTAGCACCGGCCCATAGGCCCAGGGTCTAAAGAAAATTGGCCAGTGGTCGCTCTGACAATCAGCAGTATTATCATGAGTATCTTCAGACAGCAGAAGGGAAGGGAGGAATTAATTTGCGCCATGTCTTGGGAGGTTTACTCACTGCCAGTTGCTCTGATAGTATATTATCTCATTTGACTCTCACAATAGCTTTATGAGGAAGGAATCCTTTAGCACAGAGCCTGGTTCACAGTGAGCTGTAACTAAATGATAACTGCCACTAATGCTATTAATATATTGATAACGTTAATAATAATAGACCGAAGCACAATGGGCTTGAGCAACTTATCCAGTTGAAACCTTCAGGCACCTAAGCATCTCTTTGGTCTCCCTCTCTCTCACTCAGGTTGCTAAGTTGCTATGAACCATGGCCCAACTGTACTACAAAAAAGTCAACTACTCACCTTACAGAGACCGTATCCCCCTGCAAATCGTGAGGGCTGAGACAGAGCTCTCTGCAGAAGAGAAGGCGTTCCTCAATGCTGTGGAGAAGGGGGACTATGCCACCGTGAAGCAGGCCCTACAGGAGGCTGAGATCTACTACAATGTCAACATCAACTGCATGGATCCTCTGGGCCGGAGCGCCCTGCTCATTGCCATTGAGAATGAGAATTTGGAGATCATGGAGCTACTGCTGAACCACAGCGTGTATGTAGGCGATGCATTGCTCTACGCCATCCGCAAGGAGGTGGTGGGCGCTGTGGAGCTTCTGCTCAGCTACAGGCGGCCCAGTGGAGAGAAGCAGGTAAGAGAAATCCCTACAGGCTGGGAAATAGCCGGGAACAATAAGGCCCCGGGATCAGAAGCCTTGAAAATAGGGAAGGTTAGGTAGGCTGGCATTAAGTAGCCCTAGCATGGCAACCCTCTGCTCTCAGAAATCGCATCAGTGATCTCAGGTGGCATCCTAGAGCGACCCTGCGTGGCCCACACTAGGTCTTCCTCATTTGCCTTTTCTTTGTGAGCATTTGCCCATATGCATTCAATACGTGGCAACCCAGAAGTGTGCTCTCCATTTCCAGAACATCCAAGCTCCTCCTTTAAATGTGAATACCGTGGTGCACGTGCAAATGGATATAGGGGTTCATGTATTTTCCCAGTACCTGTGATATGACTACATGCCACCCCTAAATGTTTGGGGGGTTGCCTCTGTGACTCTCCAATCCTCCAAAGCACTTAGGTTTAATACTCTGGAGTCATCTTTGAGTTCTTCCCCTTCCTTGCCTCTATGTCCAATCCCCAAGCCCTGTGGTTTCTTTCGCTCCAATCTCTTACATACTTTCTTTTCTCCCACCACTCTCCCTGTGTTCCTCATCATCTCCCTCCTAGCTGAGGGATTCTCAAAGTGTGGTTCTTGGACCAGCAGCATTAGCATCACCAGGGGAACTTGTTAGAAATGCAAATGCAAATTCTGAATCAGAATCTCTGGGGGTGAGGCCTACCAAGCTGTGTTGACCACCCCTCCAGGGGATCCTGATGCACACTCAGCTTTCAGAATCACTGCCCCAGACTGACATGAAAATCTTCTAACTGGATTCTCTGCCGATAGCCCCTTTCTTTCTCACAAGCCTTCCTGGACAATGATGCCGGCTTATTCTTCACAGCACAGCATAACAATCCTGCCATTGTTACCCACCCTTTCAGTGACTACAAGCTCTCATTAGAAGAGAAACCAGTGCATGAAGCCTAGCGCTCAATACCCTTCAGTAATGGTCTTTTCATGTCCTGTCTCCTGCAGGTTTCTCCTAAACCCCTCAAGTCAGACAGGTCTCTCCACTCTCTTCCTTTGGAGCATAGTAGGGACGAAGTAGGGAGAAAGATATAGTAGGGACAAAAAAAAATACAGTATCATCAAACATGGAATACGACAATGCATTAAAAAGCAAAAACAAAAAACAAAAAACAAAACAAATAGTGGCGCCTGGGTGGCTCAGTTGGCCGAGCGTCCGATTTCGGCTCAGGTCATGATCTCACGGCTCGTGAGTTCGAGCCCCACGTCAGGCTCTGTGCTGACGGCTCAGAGCCTGGAGCCTGCTTCGGATTCTGGGTCTTCCTCTCTCTCTGTGCCCCTCCCCCGTTCAGGCTATCTCTCTCTGTCTCTCAAAAATAAATAAACATTTTTTTTAATTTTAATAATTAAAAAAGCAATAAAATAGTAAAAATCAAGCCCCAAACTGCAAAGTGCTCAGATAATGAGAACACTTCAGATCAAACCTTATGGGTCATGGCCAAAGCTCGGCTTAAAGGGAAGTGCAGCTTTACTGTTTGCCTGCCTGGTTAAACAAAAAGAATGAAAGTACTTAAGTGATAACTCTCAGACTAAGAATTGGAATGGATAGAACAGGAAGAAAGACAGATGAAAAGTTCCTTGAATAAAGGGCCTGAATGCCTCCGTTCTCCACCAGCATTTCATACAGCGCAGCTGTAACCCCACACTACGAAAGTGCCTGCAATATCACGGGCACTCAACAAACACTTATTTCATGAACAAATAGTATGCAGCCAGCACCATGCTAAGTAACTTACACCACTTGGCTCATTTAATCCCCCCAGCACCTCGGTTAGGTAGACACTATTATTACTGCCCCCATTCTACCCATGAGAAGAATTGAGTCACAGTTAAATCAGTTGTCCAAGATCACAGTTCAGTGTCAGAGCCAGGATTCAAACCCAGGCCACCTAACCCCTAAACCTACCCTCTTAACCACTTGGCTATACTGCTTCTGTGGCAATCTAAGTCTTGGGATTCGCAGAACAGAGTTCTGAGACAGGGTAGACCCGTGAAGGATCAAGAGCTCTCTGGAAAGGACAGGCCAGAATTTGGATGAAGAGCAAAGCAGAGAGGTATGAATATGTTCCCTACTGAGTCCACATCACCATTCCTATCAAAACTGATTTGTTCTCTGCCCCATTTCACCACAGCCCTGCTAAGGGTCGGAGTGATTTAACTGCGTTACTCTGGGGGCGCCTGGGGGGCTCAGTCGGTTAAGCATCCAGTTTCGGCTCAGGTCATGACCTCACAGTTTGTGGGTTCGAACCCCGCATCGGGCTCTGTGCTCACAGCTCGGAGCCTGGCGCCTGCTTCCGATTCTGTCTCCATCTCTCCCTGCCCCTCCCCCGCTCGTGCACTGTCATTCTCTCTCTCTCTCTCTCTCTCTCTCAAATATAAACATTAAAAAAATGTTTTAAAAACTGCATTACTCTGAACTAAGGCTTACCCAGACACCCTACCCTGTGATGATCTTGCCCACCCCTGAGATTATGCAGTCATTAGCTCTATCCTTCCATTGACACTACTCACACACAACTGTGTACTATTGGTCAGCCTCAGTTGTGTAAATGTCTGGTCTCTGTAACTAGATTGTTTCTTAAATGTCAGGCATAATCTAATGCCCAACTGTTTCCATGTTTCCCCCAGTAGTACCTAAGCCAATGCCTAGTATATAATGGGTGATAGATAAATATTTGCTGATGAATAAGGAAGAGCTATGTGTATCTCTCAGACATCCTGCACGTTCAGCTTCATAACTGTTGCAAAAGAGAGCAGAGCACAGGGGGGTTTCCAAAGAGGGAACTAGCAATACTTTCGGAGTTTTGAAAACAGGCCATGTCTTTATTTGATGATCCCCATTTCCCCCATCTTTCCCCAGTGCCCTGGCAAACTCTGGGGAAGAAAGGCACCAGGAAAACTCACTCCAGGGTACAATCTAAGGCGTGACCTCCCCTGGAGAAAGGCAGAGCTTAACTCACAGGAATGAACCACTAATGGTGAAATGTCAGGCGTGTGGAACGGGGTGAAGCTGTTTGGGACAGGCTGTCTTTTCCCAAGATCCTTTCAGACACCGCCAGTGTAAGACCTCCTCTGTCCATACTTGAATATCATACCATATGTACAAAGGCACACAGCCATCGGCCCCAGCTCCAAGTCTTTTCGGCAGATTTCCCTTCCTCCTCTCTCTCTCCCAACCCCCACCACCAGCCTCTGCTAAATTTTATTTTCTCCCATTGCTCTGACAATCACTGTGGCAAGTCATATGTCAGTAACTATAACAACAGGCCGCCACCGTGCTGAAGTTCTGCCTTTCTGGGAAATAGAATCAGGATTTGTTTACCTGGGAGCAAATCAGGGATGTGAGCAAACACAGGCCTCCTGAAGGACCGCAGGTCCGGCGGGGTAGGCCACTCCCAGGAAGGTGCCCCTCCCACACCCAGAAGCCAAACACCTGGCCTTTTTCACTGGCCCTCCCCCATGTCGCCAAGAGATTGGGCACAGCTGACCTCCATCAATCTTGGATGGATAAACTGGGGCCCTCTTTGGCTTTACTTGGCCAAGGGCTTGGCCTCAGGCTGGCAACGAGACCCCCTCTGCTCAGCCCATCCTGTTCTTCTCCCTCTTCTAGCCTATCAAAAGTGCTCTCAGGTAAAGATCAAAGGCCAGGCATAAATGTCTGACACTGGCTTCAAGTATCAGCACTCATATGGAAAACTGCATTTTTTTTTTAATAACTTTTTTTTTCATGAAAACTGCATTTTTAATAGGGACCAAATCTTAAAGTCAAAATGGTGATGCTTTATCAGAATTCTCTGCACCAGACAAGTATAAGACTGTGTGTGTGCGTGCGTGTGTGTGTGTGTGTATGTGTGTGTGTGTGTGTGTGTGTGTGTGTGTGTGTGTGTGTTGTTCTGGGGTCTTCTGGCTGCTCCAAAAATGTGACTCTCTTGGCAGATTTTGTGACTCCTTAGGGTAAACACTCTTAAATAATTCTCAGAATTCAAAATTTTTGCACTACAGAAGGCTTAATACCAGCCAATTTCTTGTACATCAAGCCTTTTTCCTTTGGCGCACTGACTCTGGGAGCAGAGTCTTGTACCTGTGTATGGTCAAAACCAGCTCAAAGATTAATCATTGTGCATATGGCGAACTTGTCAAAATACAGACTCTTGAGGCCCTGCAGGTCCAGAGGCTTGGGGTTGGAGCCCGGAACCAGCATTTTAATAAGCCCGCCCTCACCCATTTCTAGGTAAAAGGTCTATGGACTTCTCTGTATCTGTTTCCTAGGCTGCCATAACAAATTCCCACTAACTGGGAAGCTTAAAATAAAAGAAATGCATTCTCTCATGGTTCAGGAAGCCAGAAGTCTCAAATAAAGGTATTGACGGGGCTGGTTCCTCCTGGAGACCCTAAAAGAGAATCTGTTCCATGCCTTCGCTTGTAACCGCATCACTCCAATCTCTGCCTCCATCGTCGCACAGAGTTCTCCTCCGTGTCTCTTCCTTGTGTCTCTGGGTCCTGATCCCCCTCTCCTTTCTAAGACACCAGTCATTGATTTAGGGTCCACCCTAATGCACGATGACGTCATTTTAACTTGACATCTGCAAAGACCCTTTTTCTAAATAAGGTCACATTCATAGGTACTGGGGGTTAAGAGGTGAGTATATCTTTTGAGGGGACTCCATTCAACCCACTAAACTCTCCATGAGAAATACTACTAGGGAAGTGGTTTTCAGACATTTTCAGAAGCAGAGCCTTTCATTAAATGAAATCCTTCCCAGAAGTAAAATAGGCAAACAGACCCAAGCAGAGCTGGCCTAGTTTAAGTGCAGATCAGGGCCCAAAGCCCCACTTGTTCACACACACACACACACACACACACACACACACTCCTATCCCTCCGTGGTCCCTGAGGAGCAAGCATAGCTGGACAGCCACTCATCTAGAAGACAGGATGACAGAGTCTAATTCAGAGT